CAGTAAAAAATAAAATAAAAAAATAAATTATTAAGCTTATGCTTTTTTTTTAAATAAAAAATTATTAATGAGTTTATAAAAGAATTTATTATTATTGTGATTTTTATTTACGTTACCTTTGACCTTAATTTATTATTATTATTATTATTATTAAATAAAAGAAATGAGGAAAATTCTTATTCGATTCGATTCGAAAAAAAAAGTAATTTAAATTTTATTTAAATTCAATACCTCTCGTGAATATTGAAATGAAATAAAATTGCAATCGAGGGTATTTTTAATGTTTAGCTTATCGTAAAATTAAAAAAAATTTTTTCTTTCTTTTTCTCCCTCCCCTCACCTCCTCCCTCTCATTAAATTTATATTTAAAATTTTAAACGTGGATTTAACACAGATTATTATTTAAGTTCAAAAGGTTCAAATTTTTTCGATTCGGTTATAAAATTTTTTTATTTTATTAATTTTTTTCATATACGTGTGATAATTAAAAATAAATAAATTATGATGATAATAATAAATAAATAAATAAATAATTTTAACCAATAAATATTAATTTGTTTAATTAAACAAAGACAACAACAACAATCGTTTTCCGACAAAATTTTGTTTGTTTAGGGTGCGTTTATTCGATAATTAAAATAAAAAAATTGAAGAACCCTTAGCAAAAAAAAAAATGGCGGATTATCTTTTTTTATGTGTCCGTATTAACGCATTCCTAACGTTTAAATAATTACTTGGGGTTGTTTTAAAAACAAAATTGTCGTGGCACTAAAGGATTAAAAAAAGACCCGAAAAATATTTATACAAATAATACAATTTCAACAATTTATATATTTTTTTTTTTGATATTTAAATCAAACAAAAAAAAAAAGAAAGTTCTTCACTAAAGCAAACAACACGATTAAATAATAATAATAATATTAATAATATTAATAAACAAAAAAAAAAAAAGTTCGAGATCATCTACCTGTAAAGTCTAGTGACACGTTCACATTTAACATCATCACAAGGTAACAACAATAACTTCTTCTTTTTTAAATTTTCTTCTACCATCGATGAAGTTATTTGATTTTTTCTTTTGTCAAACCGTCCTCATGGTCGGACTAAATCTAAACAAAGGTACCGCATCAGATGATTGCCACGATGAATTCACTTGAGGATGCATCAAACCCAATAGTAAAGGTTGTGGAATGTACGGAGGGTGGACTAGAGGTGGACCGTAACACGTCGGATGAGATCCCAAATAAGAAGGAACTTGCGAACTTGCCGGTACTAACGTTGCTTCTTCTGGTTCCGGCGATCCTCCTGTTAAAATTAAAAAAAAAAAATTAAAATGGGGAGACCGTTTGCGGTTTTTTTCTACCCTACCCCCAAACCTTTCATCGTCGGTTAATTCAATCACGTTTACAAAGCGTGACCTTTTATTTGTATAAAAACTAAAACAAATTTGATTAGCGTAACGTAAAGAGAGACACTTGACAAATTTTTTAAGTAAACACACAACTTTATGTACAAACATTCGTGTGACTGCCATTTTCAATATTACCAAAATTAAAAAAAAAAAAATCTTATTTAAAAAGTTAACCGATGTCATTTTTTTCCCTCCGCCCCGCCGTCACGTTACCCTTTTTACGGTCCTGATATACACCGACGTTATTGGAGATTATAAGTCAAGTACATAATTAATTAGAAATTCCTCCCAGTACGTCTATGTCGTCGTCATAGTCGTCATCATCGTAGCCTGCATATGGTCAAAACATGCGAAGGGAAAACGTATTTAATATAGAAGCAAACACACAAGCACACACGCGCGCCCGTGGTATGTTAAAAGCAATTATGGGGTGTCTCGCGTGACGGTTTTCCCGTTATTAAGCTTTCATTATAATTATTCACGTGGGTAGTAGTAGTAGTATTAGTATTAGTATTAGTAGTAGTAGCAGGAGCCGATGTATATAAATATCGATTTAATTTTTTTTAACTACTAACCGTTAGACGAAGGTCTATCGTCGGAAATGAGACTTTCGATCGTGAACGGCCTTTTTGTTCTGTGTTCTTTTTTATCGTTGTCATTCGCGAGTATGACCGTTTGCGACGTGAACGTGATTGGACTCTTGCACTGAGACCGGGACGGTTGAGGTGGTGGCTCTGATGTCGTCTGCTGAGGAGGAGCAAACATAAACCTGTTTAAGTTAGCAAGCGTCGACAGTTCATTTTCCAGTCTATCCTTATCCGATTTCATTAATTTAAACCTGAAATTAATAATAAAACGTTTTACGTGAGTGACGACGACCGAGTTGAAATTTTTAATCGTTTTTAACGACAAACATTTTTTTACATAAAAAATTTAAAAAATTTTTTTAACGAACGCGGCGCAAACGAAAAAAACGCGTCGTAAATTTAATAAATTTAATTAAAAATCATTATTATTATTATTATTTATTTCTTTTCTTATTAACCGAGTTGTTTTCTTTCTTATTTATTTATTTATTTTTCTTATCTAAACTAACCACCAAAAATGCTTCTGGCGTTCTATTAAATCTGATAATAATTTTTTCTTGTGTCTACTGCTTCTTAACCTAAAGCATAATATCAGGCTCGACCGCATATATATATATATGCGATCACGTACGCATATGCATATGCGCATACATAAAATTTTTTTTCTTTTTTTTTTTTTTCTCTCCAATTTTTCCACCGATTAATCAATAGTTTAATTGAATTAGTAATTACAGGGTTTGTTATTTATTGTGTTAGATATCATTCGTGAAAATTGATAAAAAGCTGTCACGATGATAATAATAATAAAGATGATAATAATAATGGTATTATCATTAGCGTGAATATTAAAATGACCGCTTTGGAATTTTTCCTTTTTTTTTTTTTAATTGCCGAATAATAAAATTCTTTCTTTCTTTCGTTCGTTTGTTTGTTTGTTTGCTACGGTTCATTTTGTAAATTAAAAACGCAGATTTACATACGTCACATAATTACGCAATGCGTAATTATTTCGATAACGTTTATTAATAATAATAATAATAATAATTTTTTTTATGGTATGGAAAAAATCAATTTTTTTTTTTTAACGCGTTTCGCAAATCGATTAATAATTATTATTATTATTAATTTTTTAAACAATTTAAAAAATAATCCGCATTGGTTTTTATTACGTATGAACAGTATTTATACATAATACATCGTTTTAATAAATAAATAAATAAATTTTTCTTCTCTTTTCTCTTTCGAAAAAATGTTGATAAAAATAATAAACGGATAAAATACGTAGAAAAAATGGCGCGTTTAAAAAAAACTTGCGAAATGCAATATTAAAATCCTTGCGTTTTTTTTTTCTTTTTTTTTTTATTTAACACTTTGAGAATTTAAAATTTTTTTTTTATATTAATTAAAACGCCGTAAAAACGCATCATTTTTTTATTTATTATTATACGCCGCGTTTTTTTTTTCACTATCTCATCTTTATATTATGCGTAAAAAATTAATAAAAAGGGTGGTAAAACGTTAAAAATCATAAATTTCATCGGTTTTACTATAGTAAATTTATCTTCTGCATTTCTCTCTCTCTATCTATCTATCTTTCTCTCTCACATACATTATTTTCACACGTTTTTACTTTTAACAAATTTTTTATTAAAAAAAAAATCATTTCAATAATTAGTTCAAACCGACTTACTATTCAAAATAATCATAATTATTGTAAATTTCTCTCTCGTTTGTACTCAAACACAAATAAATAAATACTCGTTTGTTTGTTTGTTTGTTGATTTATATATAATAAACTTTTTTGGGCACAAACGTTCGCATCCAAAAGTTTAAAACAAATTCTTAAAATTTTATTATTATTATTTTTTTTTCAATAAGATTTTTTTGTTGTAAACGCATGAATAAAAGACAATCGTTTACATGTATTCAACAAATATTTATTAATAATTATATATTTATTAATTTATTAATAAGACACAAACGATTAAATAAAAAAAAAATTTGTTTAAGTAATTATTATAAATAAAAATGGCGGCGTCGTTCGCATTTATTTGCTTGGAAAAAATTATTTACGGAATTTTTACAAATCCCTCAATTATGTTATTAATATAAAAATTATTTATTTATTTTTTTTCGTTATTAATATTAAAATAAATAAACGTTCGAATTATTAATAAATCAATAAACGATCGATTGAAATTTAAAAAAAATTTGGAGAAAAACGCGTGAAAAAATTCTTGTTCAAATCATGTATTTGCGTTTTATTATTTAATTCGAATGATTAATAGTAATTAATGATAACAATAATAATAATAATATAGGTATTTACCTTTTTCTTCTTCTAAGCAAACTTCCATTTTCAAACATGTCTAAAGCGTTTGGATGTAATGCCCAGTAGGCTCCTTTACCCGGCCTGTCCGGCCGACGGGGAATTTTAACAAAACAGTCATTAAATGATAAATTATGCCTTAATGAATTTTGCCACCTTTGAGTGTTCCGACGGTAATATGGAAACCTTTCAGTTATAAACCGGTATATGTCCGATAAGGGTAGCATTTTTTCAGGGGAGCTCCAAATTGCCATAGCCGTTAATGATATATAAGAATATGGAGGCTTTTGATCGCCGTATGATTCTCGACTAGGACGCGGCATCACCCACCGTTAATTATTACTATTTTTTTTTTTTTTTTAATTTTTTAACTACTACTACTATTTTTTTTTTAATTATTTTTACCGTTCGATAAGTTCACATATCAAACGTAATTAATATAATAATAATAATAATTAATTAATTTTTGCATGTGTGTTTTCACCCCGTTTTTAGTTTTCGACCCCCCGATATTATAAATAAAAATATTAACTAAACGCACTTAAAACTTAAATTTTTATCATAATATCACTAGCGTACAATACTCGTACTCGCACATTAATCAATTCCGAAGATTATTTATTATTTTTACAAGAAAAACAAACAAACAAACAAACAACACTTCGTTTGTTACGCCACTTAATGTTTCATACTGAAAAGTCCTTGAGTAACTGAATTCATAATACGTGATGGCTTTTCCAACGTTTGATTTCGATTCGAAGTTTCTGATTGGTCGAAACACATCGCCGATTTCATGATGAATTTTTATTCAAGTCGTAAAAAAAATATATGCACCTACTTTTAACTTATGATAAATTAAAACCATTTTAAAAATTTATTTTTTAAAAATATACTTTTAAAAAGACCTTTTAAAATATTAAAAATTTATAAACAATTAAGGTTTTCTTATAAAACACGTTTGATTACCGGCACATTATTTTTTGTTTTTTCGTTTTTTATATTCTAAGTATTTATATTAACTTATGTTTAACTTATAGTGAGTGAAAATTTTTAATTAATTTATTATTTTGTTTTACCAATAAAAATGAGTTTGTTTATTTGAATAAATAAAATGGCGGAGTTTAAACGAAAATTATTATTATTTTTATTTTTGTAACTCCTTGCGGTCAAATATTTTTTAGTTTTAAATTTTAAATTTATAATAATTTGAGTGTAACAAATTTTTGAAAAAAAAAATTTTATTTAAAATAACCATAGATTAAAAAAAATAAAAAGTAAACAAAAAAAAAAAATTTTAATTCCTCAAAATAATTTTGAAAGTACGAGAGAAAAATGGGAAATAACCCCCCGAAAAATTCAAATAATTGCTCCGTACTTCGCATAGGAAACTCAAATCGAAATTAAACCCAAAACAATTTTTTATTCGAAAATCCTGAAAGAAAAAAAAAGTCATAGAATAAATAAATTATTATTAAAGAACAGGTGTTTTAAAAATTTGGTGAAAACATTTGTCGTCGAGTCAAAAAAAAAGAAAAAAAAGTTTTATTATTATTATTATTATTATTTTTTCGCCAACGGTGTTTTTCGTGTAAAAAAAAAAAAAAATATGGGGGGAGGAAAAAAGGGAAAAAAAACAAATTATAATTATTTGAAGTTATACAAAACCGTTATTACATTCGATAACCTTTGGGTAAAATCTTATTACCAATAATCGATAATAATAATAAAAAAAAAAAAAATTTCTTGATAATTTGTTAAAACGCCATGAAATTTTCAAACCAACGTGCTTAATAATGATAATAATAGTAACAAAAAAAAATTTTTTTTTTTTCATGTCAGCGAACCGTAACGAAATTTACAAGCGTTGAAAAATTATATTAAAATTATCATTAAATTCTTTTTTTTTTTTTTTTTGGTTGCAAATCAAAAACGTTTTTTTTTTTTAATTTAAATCAGAGCCCGGTTTTTTTTTAACGGTCAAAATTCATTTCGTTTAATTATTTTCGTTGTGACGCGTTCGATTTGCGCGTTCAGAAATCTCACAAAATAAAAAAAAATCAAACGAGAAAATTAAGAAGAATTAATTTCTCATTTGATTATCAATGCGCATAAAAGTTAATTTAAAATTTATTTTAAAAAATTTAAAAATTAAAAATCAACCTAAGAAGAATGATTGCGCGTAATTAAAAAAAATTAATAAATATGGTTTTTTTATATTGAGCGGTAACATCAATAAACTTACTAATGTTCTATCAGCGGTATCTGTAAAAAAAAAAAAACAACAATAAATTTCAAAAAACCAATCCATTTACGAAAAATTTATGTTTTTCAAGTTTTTGTTTTTCTTCCCCCCACCCTCCTTCCCTCCCCCTCCCAAAAAAAAGGTTACGTTATTAATATTATGTATATATATATATATATATATATACGTAAATATTAAATATCCGATTTATATATATATATATTACAAATAAAAATTGAAAAACATTTTTCACTTTGTATAAAATTTACCGCAACTAATTTACACTCCTACTTTTTTTTAACCTTCTTCTTCTTCTTCTTCATCTTGTTCTTCATCTTCTTTTTTCTCACCTTTTTATACCTTTTTAATAAGTTTAAAAAATGAATAACAACCCACACAAAAAACAAATATGTCTTCTTTTTTTGTTTTGACGTACTTAATAACCGAACTTATTTAAAATGAAAAACAAGTTATGTAATATAGTAATAGAAGTGGTAGTAGTGGTGGTGGTGGTGGTGGTAGTAGTAATAATAATATTAATTTTTACGTTTAAATAATTTTTTTTTTTTTTTTAAATTGATAAAAATAAAAAACTTATTGACCTACATTAGTAAATATTGTTTGTTGTGTTTTCGTCTGCTAAACTATCGTAAATATCCGGTTGTTTAATTATAGTTTTGAAACAAACCTTTGCTCTCATACCTTAATTTAATACAAAAAGAAGAAGAAAAATTTTTAACTTCAGGTATTGGATAAAAAAAAAAAAATTTTTTTTTAAATTTTGGAAGATTTTTATAAGATTTGAGGCGTAAATTACCTCCCTCCTCTTCCCCTTTCCCTCCTTTTCTTCCTTTACTGCCATTTTTTTTTAAAAACGTTTTTACTAATTACTATGAATATTTAAAAATTTTTTTTTGATTTTCTTTGAGATTTCCAGAAAAATAAAAAAAACTTGGAAAAACCAAACAACAATTAATCACAGAAATTTTTTTTTTAAAAAAAAGGTTTCTTTTTTTTACACCAGAAAAAAGGTGTTTAATGTTGTCCCCTCTTCCCCTTTTTTTTCGGTTAAAGTAAAAAAAATTAATAATAATAATAATAATGATGATGATGATGATGAAAAAACGATGGTTAAAATAAAAAAAAAATAAAAATTTGTAATGTGATTATTTTTAAGGCAACAAGTTGTTTGTCTGCTCCGCCTCTTCATCACCTTTTGATGATTTTAAAAGAGTTGCGATCAGGTATACCAGGTACCAGCAGGTACCATCAACAATTTTCTTTAGACACAACCCATTTAAACTAAAATAGAGAGAGAGAGAGAGAGAAAATCATCAAAATGAAATAATTAAAACACTTAACAAACGTATAATAACATTTTTTTTTTTTTTAAAAGTATTATTCATTTTATTTATTAATGTATCGTCGGTTTTTTTTTTATTTAATGTGAAGAACATGCCAGAATTTGACAGTTGTTAATAACTAAAATAATTAATAAATAAATTATTTACTTTAATTTTTCCAATCCTATTTTTTTTCACGGTTTCTAATTTTTTTTATTTTTTTTTTCGGGGGGGTATGAAAATCTATGTTTTGTTTTGTTTTTTTTTTTTTCTACGACCGTTTGATAATTTTTAAATTTAATTTATTAATTTTATTTTTTAATTAAAAACGACTCGTTTGTGTTTTACTTAAAATAAAAAAAATAAAAAAATTTTTTTTTGGAAAACTTTTCGATTTTAATAAACAAACCGTCGCGGAAAATTTCCACCCAAGTTTGTTATTGTACCGAAGCGACATCTTAAAAAAAAATAATAAAACTAATAATTTTCAAATAGTTAAAAAATTTAACTGTAGATGGCGTTGTGTAAAATCCATTTTGAAAATTTTTAACGAAATTAACAAAAAAAAACCGTTTTGTTCGTTAATTTTTTTAATTATAAATATTAACCCTTAAAATAAATTATCTTTAACACGCAACAACAACAACAACAACTTTTCACATCCTTCCTTTATTTAAATTAAAAATTATTATTAATTTTTTTTTTAATAACTTTATTAAAACTTTTCAAATTCAATGAACCGATTGGGAAAATGAAAAAAAAAAAAAATGGCGGCAACACATTAATTTTATTAATAGAATTCATTAACCTTTTTTTTTTTTTTAATAAACTTAATGGATTCGTGTAAATTATTTATAAAAAAATTCAACAGAGCGATAAGAAATAAGAAAATTTTTTTTTTTATTCGATGGAAAATTATTAGGGGGAAAAAAATCGAGAAAATAAAATGTCGGACATATTTACGGCAATAAGTTTTCTATTGACGGTATCGAAAATCATCGGTTTAGGATCATTTTACGTGGATAAAAAAAAAAAAAAATTACACACGTCCGTCGTTGGATTATTATATTCGTGTTTAATGTTATTTTGTTTTACCGGAAACGCGGGATTTTTAACGTACACAAAACTTTTATACAAAGATAAAAGAATCGATTCTTACGTCGGTCTCGCATCCGATGTCATTTTATTAACTTGTGGAATCGTCGTCACGTTTACTTGTATACTTTTCTCTATGATTCAAAGGAAAAAAACAATGAAAGTCATAGAGGAATTTTATAAAATTCATTGGGAAATGAAAAAATTAAAACAAGATGTTAATTATTTGAAATTGAAAAAAAAAATTCTATGTCACGTGTTATTATTATTATTTATATTATTATTAATATTTTTCCTCATGATTTTCTACGTTGAAAATTTAAAAAGTTTTTTATATTTTTCATACATGTACGCGTGGTTCGTACCTAACATTTATAATTTTTTAACCGGTTATCAATTCGTTTCCGGTGCTGAATTATTAAAAATACATTTTAAAGCATTGAATAAATCATTGGAAAAATTCGACGATGACGACAAAGACAAAGAAGACGATGAATTCGCAAATAATAATAATAATAAACGACCGGAAATGAATTTTTATTTCGATTCGTTTCCGAGTCCGTCGCTTGGAAAAAATTTTACAAACGTTAATTATTTAGCTTGGGAATTTCGTACTGCGAATAAATTTCATTTAATTAAAAATAAAAAATTATGGAAACATCAACGGAAAATATGGCCTGGAGAAAAAGAATTTCATGACGTCGTCAACGATTTGAATAAAATAAAACGTATAAGAAAAATTCATGGAAATTTATGCGGGATAAAAGAACATTTAAATTCGTCTTTTTCCCTCCAGGTTTTATCCAGCGTTGCACAATCATTTATTTTTATCACTGTTAATTTATATTTAATATTTACGACTTTAAGTTCGGAAGATTCTTCCGTTTCCCTTTTTAAAATATCATATCCGGTTTTGTGGTTCGTCATTCACTCACTGGAATTAATTATCATCGTATTGACTTGTACGAATACGAGTAAAGCCGTAAGTTCGAAATATTTTCTTTTTTTTTTTTCAAAAAAAAAAAAAAAAACTTTTCGTAAAATTTTCAAATTATGGAATGATGATAATGATGATAATAATAATAATAATGATTTTTGTTTTGTTTTTTTTTTTCCAGGGGAATTACACGGCCGTTTTGGTACATAAACTTTTAGCAAAAGAATGTAAATTAGAATTAAAAAATCAAGTGAGTTTTTATTTGAAATTTCTGGAATTTTTCTGGAATTTTCCCTGGAATGTTTTTTGATTTATATTTGTTTTCGCGCCATTAATTAGAGTTTAAAAATTGAATTTTTTTCTTTTCCAGTTGAAATTATTTTCTATACAACTTCTTCATAGAAAAATATGTTTTACGGCTGCTGGATTTTTTAATCTCGATATGGCACTTCTCCAAGGGGTAAAATTAACGTGTCCATATAATAATAATAATAATGATAATAATAATAATCGAAATTTTTCATTCGTTTCAGGTTATCGGAGCTGCGACGACTTATTTAGTCATATTAATACAATTTCACAACACTTACGAAGTGCGAAAAAATTAATTTAAAAAAAAAAAACGCGCGAAAGGGTAACAAAAAAACGCGCGAAAGGGGGGGAAAAAAACATGTCGTTCGGATTTAATTTAATAAAATTTTTTTTTTAATATTTACAAAACGGAATCAATTGTACAACAACAGCAATAATAATAATATTGATAATATATACAAGTTTTTAAATAGGTTACAAAATGGCCGTTTTTAGATTAATAATAATAATAATATTAATATTAATAATTAATCTAAAGCTACAAATTTTCGTTATGCATTGATTTGAGGTCGACGTTTGTTTGTTTGTTTGTTTTTTTATTATCGACGTTCGTTCGTTCACGTTCGTAAACGTCACGATGACGACGAACGTTTTTTTTATTTTTTTTTATTTACAAAATAAATCATCAATATTAAAAGGGATGAATGAATAAATTGTTTTTGTGAGAAAAAAAAAACTGACTAGACGAGAGATATTGCGTAAAATAATAATGATAATGATAATAATAATCGAGTCGAAAAATTAATAAATTAAATTTTCAACATTTTTGGGCTCTTCTTTTGTTTGGATTTCCACCGGGTTGTATGAACATAGCCTGAGGTTCTGAAGGTAGATAACCTTTTCTCTTACGTAGGGATTCGGTTGGTAAATGTTTTGTTGGCCTAAGCAACATTCTAAAATTATATGGACCGGAAGTGTCGAAATCTTCGCACACGTTGTTCGATTCCCTTCTTAATAATTGACTTAAATCGAGTTCCGAACGGTGAAGACCGTATTGATGAAGTTTTTGAGATGATTGATGATGATGTGTTGGTGGTGATGGTGATGGTTGTGGACGTTCCAAACCTTTACCGAACATGGTTATGTTTTGGGGTAAAATTTTCCCTCCGTAATTGTGTAATAATTTTTCCCTTTCGTTTAATTCTTCGAGTTTTGTTTTCAAACGTTCCGATCCACCGACTTCGACAGAACGTTTTGGAATGTTACACCTGCGTGAAAATTTTTTTTCTTTGTTTAAATAATACTAAAGTGTTTTATGTTTTGATTTCGATTGTTTGTCCCCCCTCCCCCGGAAAAATTCAATAATAATAACAACATATTGTACCTGTTTCCAAATAAAAAACATTCAAATTTTTTAAATGGATTATCCCAAGACTCATCATCATCATCATCATCGACGACGTAATAATTATTGTAAATATCGTACATAGAATCCAAAGAGCTGCTTGTAAGCAGTAAATCGTCGTGCGTTATTCGATAATCGAAAATCGATACTCGAATGCAAATAAAAAAATATTACATACCGTGGAATGTGACTTCCAAACGACGGACGCTGTCTCGAAATTTCTTCAGGTGCGTATTGGTGTCTCAAACAAGGTACAAAATCCGTGGATGCCGATCTTAAATCTGCCATACGAATTCCATTTTTACTACTCCGAAGTTGTTTGTTGACTTCTTGATTCATCATGTGAACCTTAAAAATAAAACAAAATTTAAAAAAAAAAAATTCGTTTGTTGTTTGTTGTACGAAATCAATTAAATCCAAAAACGAAACATACATTTCTTGCAAAACTCGTGAGTTCTACTTTTTCATTTGGTACTTTTTGTAAATTTCCAGGAGGTGATGGCGCTTTTTGTTTTTTAACAGCTTTCGAAGCTCTTGTTTTAGGTGCTGGAGGATTATCACATTTCCAATTTCTATAACATCTTTGTATTATGACGGCAGCATCTTCACAACTCAAACCTTCTCTCTAAAAAATCATTTAAATAAATTCAATTTTTGACGTGGCACTTGATTGTAAATAAAAAAAAATTATAAACAATAACAACAAAAAAAAAATCTTCTGCTTTGTTTTGACGTAAAAAAAAAAAAAAAAACTTTATAAAATATCATATTAAAATATATTTATAAAAAAAAAACATGACGAAAATTTTAAAAAAAAAAAACTCCGACTATTCATTTATTTTAAACTTAATAAATTTTTATAGCTTAATATGTGTTCCTTTCAATAGACCCAGGTAGTACTTTGATTTGTTATAAATTTAAACGTCCCTCCGCCCCCCGCTCCCCCCCTAAAAAAAGTTATAATTTTTTTTTTCCAGCACTTAATTCCTCCTATAATGGAAAATTACGAAGATTTATCGGAAACTTTTCTACCTCAACGTTATCAAGTTAACGTTTTCATATTAGAGGGTAGACATTTGGCTATAACAAAATCAAATACAAAAATAACCGTAAGGATAGGTAAAAAAAAAAAAACGATACATTCGAAAAAGTATAAGACAGATTCACCTTTTTATAATAATTTTTGCACTTTTCCATTTTTTAAACCGTTAAATTTACTCTTGCAAGAAATATTAGTGATAAAAGTTTTTCAAATACGTAAAATAAAACCTAAAAAATTGATAGGTGAGTACAGGTGAGTAAATTTAAACACACGCACAAACGAAAATGAAATTTTTTTAAACGACAGATACCGACAGGAAAAAATAAACCGTCACGTTTTTTTGTTTTAGGCGGATTTAAAGTCGAATTATCGGCGGTTTGGACACAACCCAATCACAGATTTTATAAAAAATGGGCGGTTTTATTCGATTTGAAAAATATTAACTCCGGAGTGAGAGGATTTTTAAAATGCGACATATCGATAATATCGAAAAATTTCCCATCCAAATTATTGGATATAAAAAATGATGACGTAGGAGATGATGACGAAACCGTTGAAAATAATTTATTGGTACCGACAGGAGGAATTTCCGATAGATTTAGAGTTCGTTACGTATTTTCAATATTTCGCGCCGATAGTTTTTCATCGGATTTTCTATTGAAAATAAAAAAAAAATATTTTATTAGAATAACCTACGGTGGTAAAAGTGTTAAAACTCGTTTGGCACATAATTTAGAAAATCCGACGTGGAACCAAGAATTAACAATGCTCGATGTGAATCCTCCACTTTGTCAAAACATATTGGTTGAAGTTTGTCAAAGAAATACAAAAAATTCTTTTCTGGGTAACGTCTACGTTAATTTACATAACATTTACGAAGATGGCGTCGATGGTTTTCTACCGACTTTGGGCCCTTGTTTTTTATATCTTTACAGTCCAATTAAATCCCGACAGCGTTTGATCGAAGGATCAATAATGGAAAATACTCACACGTATTGTTGTCGATTGCTAATGGCAATGAGAACGGAAGTCATAACGTTCGACGAAATGTTTTTTCCGAAAAATAAAAAAAACAAGCGAAGTAATAAAAAAAAACTTTTAGCTAAACCCATACCGCCATTAAATGAAAATTTATATTTTTCCTACAAGAAATTTATTTTGTTCGGTGCCGTTTTAGACGTTTTATTTTTCGACAGGAGTATATCGGAAAATAGTTTAACGATAAAATTAACATTTGGGCCGAAAAAAGAATCGAAATTTTTGTCGAAACGTTCGAAAGCAACAAAACCACTACCGGAAACGAACGATGAGAAAGACGCGCCAACGGATACGTTAAAAGTCATAAATGTTTCAAAAAATTGTAACACGACGGATAAAAAAAATTTAAAATTTAAAGGGGATTATTGTTACGTTAAATTTTCCGGGTATTTTCCATGCGTTCACGTTTACGGCGAATGGCCGGATTTATTAAGAAAAATTTACAGGACGAACGTTATAAAAAAAGGTATAGAAAAATATAGGGAAGAAGTTAACGAAGCCAAACACGAATTGGAATACGAAACGGAAAAACGTCACGAATTATCGAAAAAAGCTAAAAGAATATTGGATAATTTTTCCGAGAGTTGTCAACTTATTTTATTATCCACGAACGTTTTATCACAACAAGACACGAATCTCTGTAGGGAAAAACGAAGAGTTTGTCACGAACGTTTGTTGGATATAATAAGCGACATAAAATCGGAAAAAGAAAAAAATTTTCTCGTCGGAAAAAATAAACTGTCGGAAATGGAAACTCACGTCGACGTATTGACAAAATATTCGCAAGATCCGGAAAATTCGTATCCGGATACGGAAATATGGATTTATAGAAACGGAATAAAAAAATCTCAATTGAGAATAAAAACTGAAGACATAACGTATTCTTCGAACGTTCACGAACGTGGAATTTTCTGTGGTAAAATTCAAACGCTCATTGTTCGGGGTAAAAAACAAAAGATAAAAGGAAAATTAGATGTTTTCCTATGGTTCGGTTTAGCTGAAAATTTCATAGAGTGTTTAAACATGTTACCATCCGGATCGCAATTTAATTATTGTCCATCGAGTTGGGATTCGAGAATTCCGAGCACATTAATTTATAAAGAAAGCCACACGTATGAGTGTCACGTTCACGTTTTTCAAGCTAAAATTTTTAACGGTTTTGATAAAACCGGTCTCGCGGATCCATTTATAAGAGTTATCGCGTTCGGAGAAACTATAACGAGCAAAGTTAGAAAAAATACGCTTAATCCGATATGGAACGAAACAATTGTTTTCCCACAATTGATATTATACGGTCCTTCGGATTATTTAAAAAAAGATTCGGTAACGTTCGTTGTCGATGTTTTAGATAAGGACACGTCGAAAAAAGCAGATTTCATCGGTCGAAGTTTTATAAAGCCTAAATTGAAAGAAATAAAAGGGGAAAAGAATAAAAAATCAAAGGAAAATGTGGAAAAATTAAAATGGGAGAAAATACGTAAGGATTATAATCCTACGGGTGAAATTTTAATAGCCATAGATCTCGTCGAAATCACAAAAGATGTAAAATCGGATGCAAAAGAGGATTACCAACCTAAAATATCGGATATAATACCCATACAGGAAAAATACAGAATGGAAGTTTTATTTTGGGGCGTGAGAGAATTGAAAAGAAAAAGTTACATGAAAAATAAAATGTTTTCCGTTATGGAAATCGGAGAAACGTCCATCAAATCGAAAAGTTTAAAAAATGCGAGACACAGATTGAATTTCCCATATTCCGTTGAATTTTCCGACATTGAACTACCGGAAAATCCCGAATACGCTCCTTCACTAATGGTAAAACTCTTTCACAAAAGTTCATTCACAAGAAAAAAACAATGCGTTGCCGCGTGCGTGGTACCGAGCGTTACGCGTTTTTTTTATTTTCCCAAAGATAAATTAAATAATAATAATAATGATCGAAAGGAAATAATAGATTATAAACCAAACGATAAATTTAAACAAAACGATCTAATCTCAAACGAAACGATCGAAATGCCGGAAATAAACGTAAAAAAAAAAATTGAAAAATTTATAATAATTTTTTTTGAACAAAATCTACTCGAAATATTCCTACAATTTATTGATTATTTAAAAAAAAAAATTTCTATTTTACGTGATGGTCGTGACGTCAAACCGATGCGTAGAAATTTTCCCAAGTATCAAAAAATGAATAAAGGGCCGGAAGGGGTGGAAGAAGACAAAAAAAAATTAGATTGGTGGGCGAGATATTACACTTCCGTAAACAGTTCTTATTACAATAATGGCGTCACGCCATTGAAAATTTATCGCGAAGAACTCGAAGAACAAAAAGAATTCAATGGTTTTACAGATTTTTTACAAATATTCGACATGTCGATCAGTCCTTTTATGAAAAAGAAAAAAGTTTCTCTGGCAAAAGTAAAAGCCGCCGTAAAAATATACAAAACTCCAAAAGATGATGACACGTTTCAAAATGGCGTATTACCAAAATTCATGACGAATGAAAATTTTAAATACATCGTTAGAGTTTACATCGTTTTAGGTAAAAATTTAACTCCTAGAGATATGTATAGCAAATCCGATCCTTATTTACACGTTACTTTGGGCAAGCACAAAATAAGCGACAGGAAAAATTTCATTCCGAAACAATTAAATCCTACGTTCGGTAAATGTTTCGAACTCAAAGGTACGTTTCCGCACGAACATCTTTTACACGTTAAAGTATTCGATTACGACAAATCGTCCAAAGACGATTTGATAGGAGAAACGATTATTGATTTGGAAAATCGTTACTACAGCAAACATCGTGCCGCGTGCGGTTTGTCGCTACATTTCGACAAACACGGAAACAACGCTTGGAGAGACGCGTACCCCCCATCGTACATATTAAATAAACTTTGTAAAGAATCATCTCTACCTTCTCCCGTCTACAAACAAAATCAGGTGATCATTGGAAATTATGCTTTTCTCACGAAAATCTCATCCGATTCCGATTTCAAAGACGAACAACAAGCACTTTCGGTTTTGCATAGATGGAACGAAATATCTCCTGTCGGTTTTCATTTGGTCCCGGAACACGTGGAAACGAGATCGTTATATCATCCTTCTTTACCGGGTATCGAACAGGGAAAATTAGAAATGTGGGTCGATATTTTTCCAGATATATCTCAAATCATGCCGCCGAAAATAGATATAAAACCCAAAACTCCAGTTTCGATGGAATTAAGAGCGATTGTTTGGAACGTAGACAATGTCGTACTCAACGACAAATCTCTTATACTAAACGATAAAATGTCCGATATTTACGTTAAGGGATTGATTTTATCATTGGAAGAAGAATTACAAAAAACTGACGTCCATTATCGTTCACTGAACGGAGAGGGTAATTTTAATTGGAGATTTATTTTTCATTTTGATTACGTACCGACGGAAGAAGTTATCGTCGTTAAGAAACCTTTTGGACCTTTCGATAAATTTCCCGAAGAAGTCAAACATCGTTGCAAATTGGAAATGCAAATTTGGGACAACGACGTATTCGGTGATGATTTTTTGGGAAATTTAATTTTAGAATTGACGGCCATGCCGAGGGGTGCAAAATTATCAAATCGATGCACGTTAAAAATGCTCGCATCCAACACGAATAACATAAATTTATTTAAAATAGGAAAAACGAGAGGATGGTGGCCGTTCAGGTACGACATTTTTTTTTTTTTTTCAAATATGAAATTTGAAACCGATAATAAAAATGTTTGTTTTGTTTTGGGGTTTAGGAAACTAAAGGAAACACCTAAAATAGGAAACGAATTCGAATTGACGGGTAAAATTGATTTAGAATTAGAAGTACTAACGGGAAAAGAAGCCATGTTAAATCCTGCTGGAAAAGGTAGAGAGGATCCAAATGGATTACCGGAACCATCGAGGCCATCGACTTCTTTTAACGCAATGCTTAATCCTTTCAAAACATTTAAATTTATCATAACCAAAGAATTACTTAAAACTTTTATCATCGGTATCATCATCGCTTTGATAATTTTGTTCTTTCTAATAATGATTTACGCGACACCGAATTACCTGGTCAAAAAGTTATTAGGAGCGTGAATTTTAAAATTTCTAGAATATTCCGAAATGATTTTAATTCGATAACTTACCTCTAAAGCGCACTGTGCTGTTTTTGGATCCTTGCACAAAACCAAAACTTCTTTTATTCTTTTTTCTAATGCTGCTCCGTATTTTCGCCTCACCGTATATCCTCTGAAATCTGAAAATCGAATTCGTGAGTGAAAACCCCCCAAAAAATGGTGAAAATCTTAAAAATTATATTTTAAACTTACGACTTTGTATGACGACGGCAGCTTCTTCGAGACTTAATTGTCCTAAATTTAAATTTTTATTTTGTCTTATTCTGTGTTCGTGCGGTTCTTCATTTTCTTTATCACTTGTTTTTGCCTCCGATGATGTTTCTTTAACGTTATTATTATTAACTTCCTGTTTTAAAAAAAATTTCCAGAAAAAAAAAAAAACAAGAGTTAGAAAAAAACCCGTTAACCCGTTATGTATTGCAATTTGCCTAATTTTCCAAAGTACCTGTGATGATTTTTTAAGAATTTTCCCTCTAAACCATCCTCTCTTTTTATCTTTTTCTTCTTCTCTTTTTTCTTTTTTCTCTTTTTCTTTTTGCTTTTTGACTTTTTGCTGTTTCATTATTACCTTTTCTGCATTTTTTTGATTTTCTATTTGCCGATTTATTTCGAATCTTCTTCGCGTGAGCCATCCTCGTACGTATCGTTGCAAAGTGATTGCACTTAAAGCCAAATCTTTTCTCATTTTTTGATATTTCATCCTAGCTAACCATCTTCTTACGCAGGCTTGAGCCAAAATTATTTTCCGTATCTGAAACAAATGATCACGTTATTTATAAATAAATGATAATAATAATAATATTAATTAAAACAGAATAAATAAATAAATAAATGAATGAACGCTATGGCAGATTAGCAGTTCCTGTAATAGAATATACGATTTTATCCTGGAAATCTCAGTTTTCTACTTCAAATTTAAAAAAAAACAAAAAAATTTTATTCGAAACGAAATAAGAGGAAAATGTAAACAGTGATGGGTTCTCGAGGAACCCCCTCCTCCCCCCGAGGAGGAAAAGTTGACCCCGAGATCATCTTCGTTGAAATCGTTCGAAGAAATTAGTAATTGGAGCTAAAACCAAAATTTCAAAAGCTGAAAAGTTCAAATTTAATTCCAGAGAAAGCCAAAAAAATGAATAAAAAATAAAAAGAAAATATATAAAAATAATAATAATGATTTAATGCAGATCATCGTGGAAGCAGCGAAATCCATACCACAACCGCCAAAATCAAATCATTTTGCAGGGGGAAAAAAAACCAAAAAGGAAATCCTTAAATCTCAACAAAACATTCTACTTGAGAAAATTCATTAAAAAAAAGAATAAAAACATTCGATTATCCTTTCCAGAGGAAGCCAAAAAGGTTCCAGTAAGAACCTAGAACGAACACATGTCGTCCTTTAAACTTGTATGAAAATATTTCGATAATAAAAATTTTAAGTAAATATTTTAAAAAGACATAACAAACATATATTAAACTTATATCTACGTATAATTTCTTATAATTTTATTTATTATTGTTTACCTCGCTATCATGTAATTTTGTCAAATATTCCGTATGATAGTATTTAAGAAAAACTTTTGTTTTCCCTAACGCCCATCCGTCCATTTTTAATCTGACGAGAAGAAGACGGCAATTTTCTCTTGAAGCAACGACACGTTCGTCCCAACCGAACGCCAGAAAACAATATCTAAAAAAAAATTTTTTTAAAATAAATTTAATAAAAATTTATATAAAAGTTAAAATAATTATATATTTATTAACATTACCTGGAAAGAAAATCAGCGAATGGAATCCTTTGTGAAAATCCATTTTGTCTTATTCTTATTGTTTCCAGTATTCCAGTATATCTGAGTTGCTTGATTACTTTTGGAGTGTCGAAACAATGAGACGTTCTGCTGTCGTTTGGTTTTATGCACCTCACGAATTGTGGAGTTCCAGACATGACCTTTTGTAATAAATCTTTTAATGAAAATCTAAAATATGTCGCAACCGTTTGTTGCGTTCTCGATTGCGATGCCAATCCTTGACTGTCACATTTTTCTAAAGAACTTGAGGGACTTAAAGTTAAGCTGGAATCCTAACAAACAAACAAACTTGAAACTTACTATTTCCTGTTGAAAATTTTATTAATTCGTAAAACTATATTTGCTATAATTTACCTGTACCGACGAATAAAGATTTCCAGTTTTTGTTATCGGACATTCAAAAAGAAATCTGACAGTATCCAATGATGATAATCTTAAAAGTTGAATTATTCCAGGTGGTAGAAAATTTCTATTTTTTTCTAAAAATCCATCAGCTTTATAAACGACTTTTCCAGCATAATGCTGGACAGCAAAACATAGGGCGTTTGATTTTGGTCTTATGTAATATTTACTTTTAATGTTTGCGTGAAATTTATCTAAAGAGAAAAAAAAAGTAATAATAATTTTTATTCATGTTTTATTATCATTATTAAAACAATCGATGACAAACTTACCGATTAGTGACGTATCATTAGATCTGGGAAATCTACTTTCTTCGTCGAGTAGAGAAAGGAGACCCATGGGCCTCGATAAAAGCATGTCTAATACGGGTCGATTGTTGCTAAATTCAACCAAATTAACCGGAATCCCTTCCGCCATGTATTCCTGTTGCTCCCACATAAATATATATTGATTAAAATAAAATTGTATTTGCTCGTTGGCAATGTTTATACAAAGTTGTTCGAATGAATTTTTTGGAAAGTTTTCAAAACCAAAAATGTCTAATAAACCGATCGACAAGGGTTCGGCTTCCGTTTGAGGACACAATAAACAGTTTATCTGGTTGACTAACCAATCGAATAATCTACCGTACAATCCTTTGGCTGTCGCATCCCTCGCCACACCGGATTCTAGCATCGAATTGTTTCTGGTTATGGTTTCTCCTTTTGTTACGACAGAACTCGATGTGAGAGCTTCTAAAAGTTCATCCGAATCGACTCCTAAAAGTTTCGATACTTTCCGTAGGGGTAGCATGTCGAGAACGCGACTTTTGTTATCCGTGTTGTCGTCGGATGCTACTTCGACGAAAACGACATCACCCAAATGTAAAATCCCGGCTAATATCCTGTACACGTTATTTATTTCTTCTTTTGTGAATCCTATCAATGCCAAAGCGGATTTTAATTGTAAAAATTTATCAACGTTTGATTTTTTGTGATAAGGATCCGCAGAATCTTGCGTGAGGTACGTGTGACGTCTTCTCAATTCCGAACTTAAAAAAAATTCGTGTAAACGTTTTTCGTGTTCCAAACCGTCGTAGAGATAGTAAAAAACGTGAAAATTTCTTTCTCCTTCCGGTTGTTGAACGACTCTAGACTGTTCCAAAAGATATAACGAAACTTTTGCTCCCGTTATTTTTCCTCCTTTCGTAAGATTCACATCTAAAAATTTTCCAAATCTCGATGAATTGGCATTGATTCCCGTTCGGGCATTACCGAACGCTTCCATTATTTGATTTACTTGAAGAATTCTTTCTTCCAAAGATCTATTCGATGATTTTGCCAAATAAACAAGTTGTTTAAGGAGTAAATTTGCACTTTCTGTTTTACCAGCACCGGATTCCCCGCTTATAACAATAGCCTGTGATGTTTTCTGATGAAATAACGCTTGGTAGGTCGCACCCGCGACGGCAAAAATGTGGGGAGAATTATTCGAACGTCCTCCTCCTTTGTATTTAAGTTGCTCGTATTCCGTGTATAATTTAAGACAAGTGAAAGGATTAACGGCAATAAGTATATCACCGATGTAAGTGTATATCTGATTTGCTTCGTACCTGCTTTTTAGTTGGTCAACAATTAAATCTTCGGTAAGTTGATCTAGCGAAGCCAAATCATCCACGTAAATTTTTTGCGGACGTGTTTTTCTGTCGGATCTTAATTTTCCATGCTTCATTGTCATTTCCGGATGACCGGGTTTGTACTTTTCGTTTCTTTGATTTCTTATTTCCTCTTGAAACGTGTATCGAGCTCTTTCCGCGACTAAAAATCCACGTTTTATAAAAGGATGGGATAATAATTCTTTAGCCACAGGCCTTTGTTCCAAATCTTTCACGAGACATTCCGATATGAAGTCGTTAAATTCCGAACTCCATTCGTCGGGTCGGGATAGAGTCGGCGGTGGATTTCTAGGGATTTGAAAAAGTGCTCTCATGGGATGTAATTCGCACAAAGGTGGATCACCTTCTGCCAATTCGATGGCGGTGATTCCCAATGACCAAATATCGCAACGTGCATCGTACCAAGCTTCCATTTGTTGTTCGCACGCGATGACCTCGGGCGCCATCCAATAGGGTGTACCAACGGACGTGTTTCTTTTACCTAAAGTGGCTGATAAATGCGATGCGACGCCGAAATCGACGAGTTTTACGCAACCATTTTCCGTCAATAAAATATTATGACCTTTTATGTCTCTATGCATGCAATGATTGGCATGAAGATAAACAAGAGCTTCAACCGTTTCGCGAATAATATACGCCAATTGATCTTCGGTCAAACGACGTCCTCGTTCTTTAAGACCTTGAACCAAATCCGTTACGGAGCCTCCCGTGCAAAGTTCCATAACAAACCATACTTGATCGACTTCTGGAGACGGTCCTCTTTTTATATACATTCCATAAAATGCCGGAATGTTCGGATGAAGGCTCAAATCTCGAAACACCAAATATTCTTCTTCTATCTCTTCTAAATTTTCATTTAAATTTTCCATTATTTTGATAGCAACAAGTCTATTCGCGTCATTATCTCTCGCGCTAAAAACCTGACCGCCAAAAACAAAAAAATTTAAATTTATCATAATTGTATGAGATAATAATTGTTCTAGAAATAATTTAACTTACTTCTCCGTAAGTTCCTTCTCCTATAAGGTCAATGAGTGTAAACCTTTCACCTGGACTAGGAGTAGCATCCAAGTTCACGTGTCTACTAACTTCGTGATAAGCCATTTTCTTTTTTTTCTTTTAAAAAAAAGAAAGTTTTTAGTTAATTTAATTTTTTTTAAAATATTTTTTTAAGTATCAAAACTTAAATCGTTCTTATTACAATATCAAAATGTACCTGATTAAAAAAAAAAAAAAAAAATTGAACCTGAAATTCTTTAAAAATAAAAAAAAATGATAAAAACAAAATTTTCGCGCCATATTTCTTTATAGAATTTCAAAACCGGAAACGGTTATAAATAATCATGTATTTATTAAATTTTTTTTCTTGAATTAATTAATCCTAAAGTTTTTAAAAGTTTTACTGACAATAAAAATAAAACGACTTTATTGATGATGATAATAATAATAATAATAACAACAACCGAAAACGTTAACGAGTTTAAATTTATCAATAAAAAAAACGGAAGTTTATGAAGTTAAAAAAAAAATGGAAGAAAAGTAAAATTCGTAATAAATTTATTAATATTTAAATATTAATTTAATTAAAGAACAATGGAGATGAATAAACATTGTTATTTCGGACGACAACCGGACGGAAACAAACAAACAAACAAACAAACAAAAATTATTATTTTGAAAAGTTAAAAAAAAAAAAAAACAATCGGATCATAACGTAGAAATTATTGTAGTAAATTTCTCTACATCCTTCATCATGACTACAAAAAAAAAAAAAAAAATTACGACCTTTTCGTCAGTGGCGAAACAAGGAAATTTCCCTTTCGTTTTTAAAAATAACAATCGATTAATTGATTAAATTTAAAAAATAATTTCTTCTGCTTTTTTTTTTTTTTTTAAATTAATAACATCAATTTTTTTAAAATTTTCTGTTTTTTCGGTTGTTTTCAAATTTCCCGCCTTTCCCCCCCCCCCAAAATTTATTTCCAGGACATTTAAAAAAAAATTTTTTTTTTTGTAATTTACGATCCGCCATATTGTTTTTTTTTATTTCACGAAAAACTTTCTTTTTTTTTTTTTTTAAAAAAAACGACACAAAGAACAATAAAATTTGTTTTTTTTTCTCTCTCGAGGGGAGGCGGGTTGGGTTGTGAGCGAAGGGGGGGGGTAATTTATTATTTTTAAAATTAAATTTCTTTTATACAAAAAAAAAAATAAATAACAACAAACAAACAAACAAAAAAATTTTACGTGTCACGATTGTTTGTTTGTATTTCAAAATTTTAAAAATAAATAAATAATTAAAATTATTATTCCGCTCCGTCAAACATTAATTTAAAAAAATTTTTTTTTTTTTAATAAAAAACTATCGAAAATCATCGATCGATAATAATAATAATAATAATAAAGAAACAAAAATCAATTCTACCAACGTTCCAAAAAAAAATTTTGTGTGTTTTCAAATACTCCAACATTAAATTTTTATCGATTTTTTTTTTTATGAGTTTAAATAGGCATTCCAGCAAAGTATAAAAAAAAATCAATAAAATCGATAGTATCGATAGTATCGAAAATATCGAAAAGCTTATAAAATTCACATCCGTTATCAAGATCAAAACAAAAACAAAAACAAACGAAAATTTTTGATAAGAATAATAATAGTAAAAAAAAAAATATGAAATTGATAACAATGGATGAATTTTATACGATAAGACAAAAGCAGAAAACAAAAAATAATAACAATAATAATAATAATAATAATAATAATAATAATAATAATAATAATAATAATAATAATTGACCGAGATGACAATCAACGTAAAAAAAAAAATTTTAATTAATTATTATTTTTATTATAAATAATAATAATAATTTGCGTATTATATTTAAATTTTTTTTTCTTTCTGGGAAGATGAGGAAGGAGGAGAAGAAGAAAGAGGAGGAGGAAGAGGGAGGAGTAGGGGAAGGGAAAGGAGGAGGCCCTGTTCCAAAAAAAAAAAAAGAAAAATTTTATCTACATAATAAATTTTTTATCTACGGATAAAAAAAAAAAAACGTTCTCACGAATGTACTACGTCATCGTTTGTTATCAACAAAAAATTTTAAAAAAAAAATTTCTAGAATTTTCTTAGAATATAAAAAATTCACAGCGTTAAATATTCGTTAGATAACGTTATCAATTATCTACAAAAAAAAAAAAGATTTCCGAACGGGATAAAAACGTCGACGAGTATTAATAATAATAATAATTACGTCGGTCACTTTTTTTTTTTTACGACACACAAAAATTAATAATAATAATAATAATTTTCAGCCTTGAAATAAATTTAAAATTTTAAGACGAAGATTTTAGCAGAAGACAAAAAAGCAAAAAAAAATTTTTTTGTTAACTAATTATCATGTTAAACTTATAATTAACCCATAAATTAAAAACTGTCACTTTTCACTCTCTTTCATATAAATTTTTGCTCGTTTGTTTGTTTGTTGTTTGCTCGATCCCGATAGATTTTTAAATAAATTTTCTAATAAGAATATTCTAGTAGATTTTTAATTTTTAAAAAATAAAATTTCATCGAGTTAAATTGGATTATTAAATCGATGGAATTAAACAAAAAAAAATTTTTTCATAAGCTAAACATTATATAGTGACAAACGGTCAATTTTTAAAAACTACGTAACGATGACGTCATTATTTTTCTTCTTACCAACGTTCGAACGTCGAAAAAATTTTTTTAAACGATTTATCTACGATTCATTCACGTAACAAACGCTATAAATTTTTTTTAAAATAAAATTCTAAAAACAGAACAAATTTTACGTTAAATAGAACCTGTTGAGACGACTTCCGTTTCCGTTTTTGTATTTTTAATAAAATTTTTTTTATTTAAGAAAAAAAAAACTCACCCGTTATAATTTTTTTATTTTTCTTTTTCTCTTTTAATCCACAAACACTCTTTTTTTTTTTTAAAATAAATTTTCTCATCGAAATACAGACGAGACAAAACTAAACAAACAAACAAACAAATGCGAGTGACAGTAATTTAATGAAACAACAAACAATTGAGAAAACAAAACAAAAAATGGTAGGGAAAATGAAAAAAAAAAAAGAAAAGAAAAAAAATTACTTTAATTTAATTTTTTATTTGCTCTATATTTTTTTTTAATGTCATTATTATACCTGAATTTAGTTATATTAAGGCCACGATTATATTTCAAAATAATAATAATAATGATAATGATGATAATAATAATAATAACGAAATCAAGAGTTTGCTAAATTACAATTTCGTTTTTTTTTTTTTTTTGTAATCATTAACTAAAAATTTTCGTGATCGATTAAATTAAATTGAATGTAAAATTTTTATACTATTGATAAGAATAAAGTAAAAGTGGGGGAGGAAAGTAGGTAGGTAGGTAGGTAGGGAGAGAGGAAAAGGATGAAATTATTAATTTAAGGAGGCCTCGGTACAAGCGGCCTGTTTATTGTGTGGACAATTTTTATTTGCGATAGCAGAAAAAATGAGGAAAAATATAAATGGGGGAATTTTTCCAATCATTACGAGATTTGAAATAATTCACGAGGGTAAAATAAAATATATAGCGCTATAAAAAAAGGCAAACGATTGTTTATATTTGCGTGATTATAGCGTAGCGAATTGATAACAATGACGTAATTAACGCCGTGCGTTTTTTTTTATTAATTTTCAATAACAATGAAAACGAAAAAAAGAAAAAAAAAATTTTTTTTTTTTGTAAAAATAGATTTTAAACGTGTTATTACGGTTAATGAACAAACACAACAAAACGTAAACAAATAACAAACAAACAATCAGGTAATTGTTGTTACGTTTTTATTTACCAAAAAAAAAACAAAAATGTTTACGGTTAAAAAAAAATTGACAAAAAAAAAAAATTCAATATATCACATCACACTCGGAAAATTATTCGAACGTAAAAAAAAAAACTCGCACGTACGCACGTACGCGCTCACGCACCAACAAACAAACAAACAAACTTTCTAACCGTTGCTAAATTTTTTTCAATTGACCGGTAAAAAAAAAAAAAAAAAATTACCACAGATCCTGTAAGTGGTAATTTCTTTTTAAATATTCACGTAGTTTGTTGTTGTTTTTTTTTTTTTTTTCATTCTTTTCACCGCAAACACGGTTGTTTTATTAAAAAAAAAACGTTTACAAACAATCGACAAAATAAAATACTCGTTTGTATTTTGTTTTTTTTTGGGGGAGGAGGGTAGAGGAAAAGAAGGAGGAGGTAAAGGGAAGACATGATAAATAATAAAAAAATAATAATTTTTTTCTCTTCGTAAAGTTCATTATTATTTTTGACCTTATAATAATTTGATTGTGTACGTTGTTGTTGTTTGTTGTTGTTCTTTCGTTTGTTGGCTATTCGAACGATTATTGATTCTTTTTTTTTTATCTTTAATCCAACAAACACCATTTACCTCCACGATTTCTAACCTTACTAAAAAAAAAACCGATCACAACGTGAAACAAAAACAAAAATGTCTTCTGCTTCCTCGTTTGTTTTTTTTTTTTGACATTGTACTTATTACACCGGAAGTGAACGATAACATAACCTTTAATAATTATTTATGTAGACAAAATTTATTAATTAATAAATAAATAAGTTAAAAATTTATGTCGAGGATCGTACGATGACCACTTTTGAAAGCCTAACCTTAAACGTTCGTTTGTAAATATTTTTACTTAAAAATTATTATTATTATTTTCTAAAAATTTTTAGGCGTTAATTAAAGGTTATGTAATTACCTTAATTAATAATAATAATAATAATAGTAATGACGATGAATAATAATAATAATGATGATTAATTTAAAATCTTTTGTAAATAAAAACAAAATTAACGGTTTTTTTTTTTACTGTTATTCATTTATTTGTTTTGCTTTTTTATTGATCATTATTACGTTTCATTTGGTGATAACAATGATTGATAAGAATCGGAAATAAAAATCGAATAATAATAATAATAAAATTATATTGTTTTTTTTTTTATGCGTGTGTGACGTTAGAAAAAAAATAAAAAATTGACACTTGTGACATTGACATTGTTTATTATCACATACA